TTCCCTCACCTTCCTTCCCAACGTGGCAATTGAGTCTAACTGAAAACCCAAGTTCGAAGTGTGTGTATGTGTGTGTGTCCATGTTTCACCTTGTCTAGACACAGGGCTTTCTACCTTTGTGGTTGGTGGTTTGAGGAGTGGGTGCTGTATACATCTGTACATGTTTGTTCGCATGGCTTTTATTTTCGACGTTCTTTGATTTTAAATGTGTGCCATACTGGTGATTGACTAGTTCACCTGCACCACTTGGGAACTCAGGGACCCCTTGTTCCCAGTAGAGATGTACGATGACACATCAACACAGTAGAGTGTCTATAGGATGGTTTTCGATGGCCCTCACCGGGACTAAGCTGACCACATCACGACTTCAGAAGCATCACTTTGCCTCAAAACCCTGCGGCATCGGGCTGAGGATCATTTGGTTTGTCGATGACACCAACGTGTACCGAGTGACGATCCACAAGACCTTCGAAGGTAACCTGACCACGAAGCCGGTGAATGGCGCCATCTTCATCTTCAACCCGCGCACAGGAGCGAAGGGCATCGCTACTAGGAACAAGGACGCTACTAGGGGCTCCTGGCCTTACTACTAGGAGCAAGACGCTACTAGGGGCTCCTGGCCGTACTACTAGGAGCAAGAAGCTACTATATAGGGGCTCCTGGATCGCTACAAGGAGCAAGGACGCTGATGTTTTTCTTCTCGCTTCGAGTTCAGGTCCCTCAGAGCGCAGAGCGATCCTCCCCAGTCTCAGGCGATCCCACCGAACCGGGCTCTTTGGTACCAGCTTGGGTCCCATCGTTTTCACCATGGGAACCGCCATGAGAACTATGGCAGACATGTGGACAGGACATCATGCTGAAGAATAGCAAATACGATGATACTATGCAAATAATCATAATGGGAACATGCAAGTGAACTGTTTTCTTTGTTGTTGTTTTGTTTTCTATGGATTTCCATCTATTTGTGGATTGACGCCACTCATGTGAACGATCCAAACCACCATGGTCTTGGGACGACATGGACATGCATCCCACCGTTGTTTGAAGAGGCTGCGCAAGATGCAGTGCAAAGCGGTCGTGGCCCACACCACCACGTTGCAACTGAAACTTGAGTCAAAAGCCAGGAACCATGTTTCCTGGGGAAGAACAACATATTCCTGGAGGCTCCACTGGCAAAAACGAATTGATGCCAACAGAGAAGAATAGGTTTTCAATACATGCCACATATTGCCACATCATTCTTGGGATTTGCTGCGTGTTTCTAGGATTGCGGCATTTTGATTCAAATCAACACAAAGCACATTAGAATTCGGTGTGGTTGCCCATGTTTACCGCAGGTTCACCCACGTTTGCCGCGTGTTTGCCCATGTCAGTTTGCAGTGTTTCTTTTTTAAAGCTTACTGAAAGATAGTTGCACCGTGCTTCCGGGAATGCGGTGTGTTCCTTGGAACGTGACGTGTTTCTTCAAATGCCGCTGAAATATTAGTGCTTCATCACGGCACAAATTCACGCAGCGAGATTCCCTGTAGGTATGTAATATGAACCAGTGTCCCCAGTCTTCTCCGTTCCCTCCGCAACATGGGTGGCTCATTGGGATTTTGGTTCCAAAACGTCCCCAAATCCAAAGCTTGTGGTTTTGAGGTCAACTGCAGCGGCAAGTCACCAGCAAATTAGCTAATTGTCGTAACGCCACTGGACTGGGCAGCTGTTTGCACTCTTGTGGCAACTGGAGCTATGGCCAACTGATTGGCGATGTATGGTATGTGCAGCGTGGCAATTAAAGTACACAGCCATGGTGCGGGGCTTGCTTGTGTTGGGACGGGGCCGCTGCCCGCAGCAAAGTCGCGCCCAGCTTGCTTTGAAGCAAACTTGTCAGCCCACACGACGCTGCTTGAGCAATCTGGGTGTGGCATGTTATGGTCTCAGCTGGTAGCTGTGCTTTGGTGGCTGGCTGCTGGTGGGGTGCACTCTTCTGCGACACAGGGGAACGCCAAAGCCCCACCATCGTCCCAAGAAAGGTGCTGGTAAGTCGTAGGCCCCCATGTGAGCAGCATTATGTTTGGAGGACAGCTCTTCCTGAAGATCATCCACACTTCTGTGTGGGCCGGTCAGAAGCGCCTTTCCCAGCTCGCCAAATGGAAGACAGCAGAGGAGGCGATCGAGGGGAGGGTCGTGCCCAAAAGTACCGAAATTTGTTTCATGGTGTTTCCATTGGTTTTCCAACTTTTCCTCATTTTGGTGGCTGGAGTTCACCTTTGCCAACCTTGCATTTATCGTTTGACCCATGGTCAGGAATGCCACAGTGAAACCAAAAACACACTAACTTTAGCCGGATGACTTAGGCTTAGGGCCCTTAGGCTACCGCACAAGTATCAGTATTCTGTAACGATCTACTTGAATGTCATTGCCATTGCTTCTCGATCAAACAAACAAACAACTATACCGCAGAACTTCGCAAGTCCTGAATGGTTTCAGTGCCAACCAAACAATGTCACCTGTCACCTCTCCCTCACTGTCCCGTTTCCTTGCCCCACCCAAGCTGCTGTTTCAGGTGGCAGCGCTGATCCGATCACTGCCCGTGGAAGAACAACCCAAACAAATCATCGTGACACGTAAGGGCATGTTGGACCCCTTGGAGGCGCGAGGGCGGAATACACGTCTTTGTGCGGTAAGGCATGAGTTGGACAATGTTGGATGGCACCAACACATGGATATAAGGTTTGGTTGGAATGTTTTACAACATGGATGGTCAGTCTTGGGTAGAAGATCAGCCTTGTGTTTCAGTCGAGCTGGCGGGTCGAACCCATTTCTGAGCCAAAACCTGGTCATTCTTTACCGTAATGGTAGTTCACATCGCGCCAATGTTCACTTCTAACCGAGATTTTGTGGGGAATGTTGATGTATCATTCATGTATATGTGACAAGGGGATTTTAGTTTAGATATGTATGGATCCGCCTCAGTTGCTCTCTGTCCAGGATAGATTAAAACGGCCAGAGAGTTCCAAATCGTCACATGAACAAATTAGAAGCAACTTGTTGTGCCCCAGTGTGTTTTGACAGCAGTTTTGCTCACAAGCCATGGTCTAGGCCCTGATTTGTGGCCACAAGTTTGTTCCCCGAGATCAAATCAAATTCCAACACATTTCAAAGATGCAGGATTTTCTAGCCACACTTTCTGTACATACGGCTGCTATAGACGCAATGCCATCACAGGCAAACAACTGGCTTGCCAATCCTTTGAGGGGTTGTAAACATACAGCATACATCACAAACCAACAGGGACTGCAGACAGAGGCTGAATGTCATTCGGGACAGCGCTTCAGGTGCACTTGTTGGATTTCCCCAACATTGTCATCAAGGGATCCGAGCTTTCTTTGCCCTTCCAGGCCCTTCCGTCAGCTGTTTTGGTTGCGATGTCGCCGGTCGCAACCATCCGATGCCGCGGTCGCATCGTTTGCGTGGTGGGGAAGGCCGCAGGACACAAGGCCTCGCAAGGCCTGGTCCTTCTGTGATCCTTTGACCTTTGACCCAGTTCTGGACCTGGGACGAGCATTCGATTGACTCCGGACGTGTCTCGCATGGTTTCCCGGATGCTCAAAACGACTATTTGCTTCTAACTTAGTGGATGGGGAATATGATGGTGGAGAGTGTGCAATCCGCTCATTTAAAGTGTGACTACGCTTGGTTCGGAGCGCAGCAAGGCCTACAAACTCCTGTGTTGGTTCTGCCTGGATCACCAATATCTCCCTGAAGAATGTCAGGCTGAGGCTATGATGTTGCAGGTGTAGGTTCAAAAAACCCACGGTTCCACAAGATGTAGCCTTTGTTCCTTGTCGACTGGAAGGCTGAGGTTTAATCCGCTTCGTCTTGACTGGGGATCTTTGGAGTTGGATCGTTTCAATCGTGTACGACAACTTGTCCTTTGTGCGACAACTACGATCTCTTTTGATCGGCCAAAATCTGCTGTCAGCTCGGCTCCCAGGCGTGCATGAAGATTGAGAAATTTGGCGATCTGATCTTAAAGGCTACCCAGCCTGAAATGGTGCTTTTCAACCTCTACGATGACTGGCTGAAGTCGATTTCCTCCTACACGGCCTTCAGTCCCGCTCTCAGAGCAGTGCGGGTGTGGGCAAAGCACGGCCTTCAGTCCTGGATCCGAAAGCAAACCAGAAGGACTGCTTGCTGGTCTCAGACGGACTCATTTTTGTTTGTTTCGAGAAGGACCGGAAAAGGCGGGAGCTCAAAATGCACATCGGAGGAAGGAACGTCGAGGGGGGTAGTGTTGTAAAGGGTCAACAAACATGCAACAACCACATTTCATGTCAACACATGCATCAGCCAATTTTGATCAATTTTGCTCATCTTCTTTCGGACTCGCAACTCGATGACAACACTCGCACATCGGTCGAGCGACCTGATCTGGAGTTTTTGTCGTGTCGGATTGATATCCGGTTACCGGTGACGGTCGAGTTGGTCCGGATGAGTGGCTCCAGATGTGGAAGATGTGGAGAGCGTGGCTCCACAATGCTCCACATCTTTTTTTGTTTTTCTAGACTTTCTCTATGGATCTATGGAGAGTCTTTGGCTTTTTTGGCGTGGGATGTTCCTACAATTCGTGTTGCGCGGTTTACAGATTCTGATAGAATTCCATGAAACTTCCTGAACCGCAGTGGAACTTCAGGTCTGCTTTGTTACGATGTTCAGCTTGAACCCACTGCCAGATCACCTTCATTTTTGGGTGATCGCATGTGAGGGATTATATAGCTTTGTTGCGGGGAAGTCAGTTATGGTGGATTTGGACCAGGTCAGCGGTCATCAACAAGTTTATACAACTCGGTGGTAATTTCCAGTTACAAGTAAGGAACACGTCGATTGTCTTCGGGCAAACGAATCACATGACATTACTTCATAGATCATTATAGATGCGAGCATCCAAACATGTTTGACAGATGCTCTCAAGTGGAATTGAACGTTTAGTTGCCACATGCAGTGTTTTGCTCGCTGATGCGTTCTGTTCTTTCGTTCCACCAGTCAGACATCCAGCCCGCCGGCGAACCGCCGCATGTCGACCAAGGCCGAATGATCCTGATCCTCCGCGCGCTGCACGTGAATCCGGACCGGACCAAGGTGATCTTGAAGCCGGACAAGACCACGGCCGCTGTGGTCGCATGATGTCGCATGGGGGTCGCATGATGTCGCATGAGGAGACCAACACCAAGGGGCCACACCTTTTCTGATCGACCGGAATTCACCCGTCACCGGAAACATCAGGTGACGCAGCCCCACCACGTGTGGCCCAGCTTGACCGACGATGAGTGGATCCACGTGGAGGTGCAGCTGAAGGATTTGATCCTGGCGGACTACGGTCGCACGGACGAAGGGTCGGATGAAGACCGACGCAAGCGTACAGCGTACGGCGTAAGCGTCTAGATCGGGAGAGTGGAACTGAAGGTGATTCAGGATGTGGGAAGTGATGTTCATTGAACACCAATGGTTGGGATGGGTTGTAGAGGAACAGCAGCCGCTGGCCGGTCCAGTGATTGTTGGATTTGGCCTGTGAGTCTTGTGAGTTTCAGGTGCCGCGACCAAAGGACACAGAAGGGACCGAAGGACCTATTCTGACAAGGAGACTTGGGGCGGAGATGGGAGATGAGGAGCTCTCAAAGAAACCGTTTGGGGATTCTTGAGGATAGGATATGATAGGATCGGTTCTATTTGGCATTAAAGAATGATCATGGGCCATGGGTGATTCAGTGCTGAATCTCTCCTCTTGGATGTGTCACTGGACGCCCATGCAGCCAGAACTGGTCCATTCCAGCCCCGTGAGCCGAAGACACAGGTGTTTTGGGATCCGACTCTTGAGTTGGAAGAGATGCTCATCTTCTAAAAGACTGTTTACCCAGAAGGAGGCCAAGTGATGGATCGTAAAAGACTACTTGAACATCTTGAACGTTCAACTTGAAAGGGAGGTCAACTGGCGTCCTGTGTGGGGTGATGGACTACCGCCTGAAGATTTGTCCAATGGCACATGGCCTTTTTCAACCCAGGCAAGAAGAACAACGTGAATGTGGCATCTTTGACTCAGAGTGAGCTGCTAGGCCTGTTGAGTGGGTAGCTCAACGACGATCGTGCCCACACTTGCCAAAATCCTTGTGCAGCCCTTCCTACAAGGTAAGGTCCATTCGTTCCAAACTGACTGGCAGACTGGCCACTTAGAGCTTAGCTTTGGGGGTTCTGCCCTTTCGTTGGGAAGAGAGGGGTAGTAATGAACAGACTGCGTGGATGCTTCAGCATATTGGGTACCAAAGACCCTTGATGTCTGGAACCACTGCGACAATATCGATGCAGTTGTAGCAATCAGGATCATCGGAGTTCAGGCCTACTGGTACCAAACTAGGAGAGAATATCCTTTGCGTCCACTCCACATGTCTTTTGTGTTATGAGTCCGGGGAAATTGGCCGTGCGAGAGATGGTCAATCGAATGAATGGCACTGTTGCCGGTGATGGTGAGCTTGGGTGAAGAGATGTGAAGAGCCCTAACTTGGCAAGTCAAATTCAAGCCTAGTAGCAAAGGACGCTACTTGCTACTAGTAGCTCCTGGGCATCGCTACTAGGAGCAAGAAGCTACTAGTAACAAAGGGCATCGCTACTAGTAACAAGAAGCTACTACAAATTCAATCTTTTTTCTGATTGCCCCCCAACCACCCAACCACAGGGCAGCTCTGGAAGGATAGCCCTCATGCTTGGAGAGAGGTTGGCTTTCCATGGTTTTCCACCAAAGCAGGTTGGGTGGGTTAATCTAACTACAAACATCGCACGTTCCAATGCTTTTGCTTCGGCTTTGCAGCAAACTTCTCAGGATCCGTGATATCATTCTTGGCATGGAGATTGCGCCACCCTCCATTCAACGACGCTGGGCTGATTTAGATTTTGTTGCGTGACTTCATGGATGGTCTCCCTACCATCCAAGTTGAATCAGTCTGGAACTGCAGGCCCTTGCAGTTGATGGCTTTTTGAGGCAACATAGATGGCTGTTTGGAGGAGGACTAATTATATTAATAGATATATATGGAATTATGGGTGCCTTTTACCATGTTTTGGTGACCAGGCTTCATGAACAAGGGTCCATAAAGCACAGGGCCCCATGTTTGGGCTGTTGTTTCCTAGGCGAGGCTTCGGGGACACAGAAACCCAAAAGACACGATCAGAACAACCATGAACAGCATCAATAGCCCGATCACTTGGGTAGAGGAATCTCTGGGCTTGTTTGGTAGAAACCCTTTGTTTGATATGTTTTGAGGTGAGAAAGTGAGAAAGGAGGTGGCTTATCCGTTAGTTTGGTTCATTGACATGTGGGGCAAAGGGAGAGTCTTGCAACCTTTGAGGATTGATCTCCGTGTTTGGCTCGAAGTTTCAAAGGAATGTATTCCTCATAAGTCCCAGGGGCTATATAAGCAAATTGAGCGACTGAGTTTCCTATGGTCTCGGGATATTCAGTTCATCGCAGTTTTTTTGTTTATGGACACAAGGGATTGGAGGACGACCGTGGGAAGGAGCCCTAAACCCAGAGACTGGCGTCCGGTTTGCCCACGTCCCACTGAAAAAGAATGTGACCTGTGCTGCAAGGACAACAGATTGCGGACTTGGAGAAGCAGGGCAAGGCACGTCGGCGGTTTGAGCATTTCTGTAGTTCTAGTTGGATCATTTTTGTTCAGTTCGGTTGTATTTGAGCCTTGTCCTTTTCCTTCTTGTGTTGGGTGTCACACATGTCTATTTTTTAGCCTTGTCCTTTTCCTGCTTACGTGTTGGGTGCCAGAACAGTCGTTCTCTCTCAGCCAGTGCCAAAGGCTACAAGTGACTTTTGGTGTCAATTGAGTGTTTGGAGTGTTTGGAGCAGTTCTGTTTGCGTTGCTTGGTGAAGTATGCTATATAATTGCTTTATACTTGGATTGTTGGCTGGCATTGATAAAACCGTTGAACTTCTTGACGAGAGGAGCGCCATGGAGCCAGCAGTGTACTTCAGTGTGTTTGTTTGTGTCTTTCTTTTTTTGTGTGTCTTTGTTTGTTCATTTTGTATCATTTTGTCTATTATTCACACCAATCGAGAACGTTCATTGTGTGTTTGGCAAAATACCTTGTGTGGTCGTCGTGTGTGGGATGAAAGTCTCCCCCCGGGCCATGTCATCCATTATCCATACCGTGTCGGATTCGGACGTTCATTTTTGTTGGGAAGCTGGATGATTCGAGCACGCACCTTGGAGTGTTGCTGTCTTTCAATTAAAAGAGAGTCTGATTCTTTGAGTTGTTCCTCAACCCCACCCCGTTGCTGCTCTCCGGCACTTGGTATCACTATGAGGGAAGCACTTGGAATCAGGGATGCCCGTCCCTTTCGTTTCCTGCTCCCTCACCCATTTAAGGTCGCTAGCCATCCTCCGTCAAATCCCAGGCCATCCTCTAACCACTTGGGACGAACGGGCCGGGCCACGGAAGGGTGCCACAGGAGATGTCACAGATCACCACCATCACCTCCAAGACCACGAACGTGCATGGTGAGGAGATGATTGTGACCACAGGCGAGATGGGAGGATGTGAGAGGCGAACCAACGGCCTCCGAACGGCCCATTGATTTGGGGGGAAGAGGGGTGAACCAACCGGGTGGCCAAAGGACTGGTCGATGCCGGACGTGGAGAGATGGGCTTAGCCAGAAATCGCCAAACAAACCGGGCGTTTGACGTATTTCTTTTTTCGATCCATTTGGTGTCCTAAGCTTGGCAGCGTTTGACACTCCGGTCTGTTCGATCTCGATCTCAGTGGAATGCGGCGGGCTCCTCAGGCTCTCCGTACGAGCAGCAAACCTTTGCTTCCCGCACCGAGTGGCGCGTCCGGGCCATTAGCGCTTCTTCCCTGCACCTTCGAACGAACCACTTGACACTCAGCTGCAACGTTGGCTCAGCTGGAGGACTTGGTTTCGGGGAGATGCGACTGGCAGAGAATGAAGAGAAGATGAAAGAGTGAGAGACATGTGCCAGCACCTGCCAAAGACTTGTCGGAGGATTACTTTTGGTTATCAGCCTCAGTGGGACAAACATACTGTATCGGCTTTGGGACAAAGGCCAAAAACTGACAACTGCAGATGTTGATTCATTTCCCTTTCACGTGTCCCCTGAGGTATGTGAACAGTGAAGACATTCGGGAGACTGGCTACACCTACGTGATGCCAAAGAACATCCTGAAGACCTTCATTTGCATCAGTGTGGCTTGGTCGCGTGGTTCGTTCGTCACGGGGTCCAGGCGGACCCGGCGGGAGGAGTTTTTCGAATTCGGACTGTTCAGGACATGTTGGCAGAAATCAACATACGTCCTGAAAAAATAGCAGTTCTGCTGAGCAGACCACCCTGGTAAAGGAAAGTGGGCAGACCCTATCGATGTAACACTTATAGTTATCGTAATGTTTTTTCGGAGTGGTCGGGGGGCCCTTTTGCTGGGCCCATTTGGCAGGTGTTTGTACTTGGGCGTTTGTACTGAGCATGCGAGTCAGGCTGAGTCAGGCCGAGTCCGGTCAGATCCTGCCCCGAGTCGCCTGAGGATTTGCGCACACAGATTGCAGCATATCTCTACGGAATCTCGCCACCGGATAACCCACAGGTGAAGGAGATTCGGCCGCTTGGTTGGTGTTGAGTTCGACGGCAGGAATCGACGGGACGGAGCCCTAACTGTAAACATCTCTGGATTCACAACCATTTTTGTCGGGCAGGGTGACCCGAGCTGGAGAAAGGAAGATGCCCAGGTTTGCATTTCCGCCAAAACAGAGTATGTGACTTCTTCCTTTGCCGGGTTTCAGCTCCCCACAGCGTGGGTGATCACTGGACTGAAAGGCGACGGGTGACGGGCGACGGGTGACGCCCTTTGGGCAACTCGTGGGGCATCGCGACTCGAACGGAGCGATCGGAAGCTACGAACGGGGCACTCCTGGCCTTACTACTAGTAACAAGAAGCTAGCATCGCTACTAGTAACAAAGGTGGAGTCAATGTTGTGTGCCAAGAGTTGCTCGTTGTGGACAATGTGAACCAAGCAGTCAAGATGCTTTTGGATGACACACATGCACCTCAACCAAAAGGCACCGTGAACATGGAGAAGACAGAGTTTGAGCTAGGACAATGGAGACCTTCTATTGAACTTGGTGAGCAAGACATGGTGGTGCCGCGTCGTTTGTAGGGCAACTGCCTCACTAAGAATGGAAGGTGTTTCCTGACTTCCAGAAAACACCTCCGCATACACACACATGGTTGTCTCATGTTGTCTCCCTTTTCCTTTTAAAGGGTTCTCCACTCCACCGTTGCTCTTTAGAAGCTGTCATCCAACGGTGTCGGCCAGCAGTGACGCTTCGGCGAGGTGCATGGTCATGGTGCCACAGGTGGGAACACACAGTTTCTTGGCACAGGTGGAGCGGAGGTGTTCGGAGTGGGGAGCAGATGGCCATCACCCATCCAAAGTGTCTGCCATCACTCCGAGTGGTTGCAGGCCTGGGCAGACAGGAAGCAAAGAACTGCTACTATGTGCAAGCACAGCTTGACCAATTAGCTTCCCGCTCGTAGACGATAGATTCACCCCACCAAGCTCATCCACTAGTGTTCTGTTGGTGTTGGGGAGCGTAGATCGTCGGCTTTCACCACACATCATCCCTGAAAACCTCCGCGATGCAACGTCACGCTGCGCTCCGCCGTGCTGCGCCGCGAACCACGAGGCAACGTCACGCTGCCCCAGCAGCTGCCGGACCACGACCACTTGCGAGATTTAGAGCCCTTGGGCTGGATCCACACGCCGCTTGGAGATGGAGAGAGTAGAAATGACGAAATGGAGCCTAGCACTCCGAAAGGTTATGAGGAAGTAGACTACGAAAAGCACCTGCTTGTAGAGGAAACATCGTCCTCAACAGGGGCCGTTTTCCACTTTGGTAGTCAGTGGGAGCTAAGCTGGGCGCTGCTCAAGACTCAAAACACGTGTTTGTGCCATTTTGTACCAATGGATTTTGGGCACCCTATTCCGGGAACCATACAAATTAAAGATAGTGCTAATATACTATATAAATTATACTAATATCTGTTCAATTAAAAGCCATGCAGAAACGTGATATTGTCAGGTTCCTTTGTGAATGTTCCTAAGTCAATGGGTCTATGTTGCTCCATTGAACTTGCCCTGGGTACTGTAGGGGATTTGGGAATCAGATAAAAAAGGTGAAAAATATGTGGTTCATGTCATCTGCGCAGCGTGTCACGCTCAGTTCCTCCGAGGCAACCGCAAGAGCAGCCGCATTTGAGTCCACAGGTCGGACGGAGAGACTGGTGGCCTTCCCGGGTTCCAGGGTTCCCTGTCTCCTTGTTCCAGATGCTGAGGGGCATGGCGACATCGGTTGGAGATGGTTGGAGTTGCTAGCAAAACTAACAAGTGGTCGCACAAACAACGTGGAATGGCATTTCACAAAAATCAATCCGATGTTGGCCTATGTCGCATGTTGTGTTTCGATTTTACGATTACGGGCAGCCAACTGATGGCCTAAGCTGCGTCCGTTCAAGAGTTGACAAAACTAACATACAGCGTTTCCGGTTCAGTGTGGTTGACTTTGCTCTTTGGGGGTTGCCTCCAGCTGTCAGATAGGGTGAATGACGGTCAATGTATACAAGTCTGACCTACAAACAATCAGCCTCTTTATTAGTGCCCCAGCATGTGAAGGGAATCGATCTTACCACCTCTCACCCCCGATGTTGGGGCATTGGCGATGTGACCTTGTGACCTGGCAGCTGGCAGGATGTGACCTTCCACGCGCGGATGCTGGCGGACAACAAGACCTGGTTGGCGGACCAGACGATCATCATCACCTGCAGCTTTACGCCAGGTGAAGCTTCCGGGGGCGGTCCGTAAGCGAAGTGAACGAGCCTGGTTGGCCGCTTTGCGAAGTCCAAGAGCTGGCGGATTCGCTGTTCGGAAACCCATTGTGACCTTGGGTGAAGCTTTCATTAGATGAGAAAGTAGAGTGTCAAGAGTCAAGAGGGTCAAGAGTCTTGAATCAAAGTCCCCTTTGTTAAAGTATATATTCAAAACCAGAGAGTTGGCAGATGTGGAGCGCTGATCAACCACTTTCCATCTCCAACTGTGTGGAAAAACGTGAATTTGCACAATTTGTACGAGCAAATGAAGATTCTTTCGTTCTTGGAGGCAAAAAAGGTTCAAGGTAGATTTGAGCACCCCACCTGTACCAACTCTGTATTTGCTAGTTGAAACGCCTAAAGGCCTAAAGCTCTCGTAGGTTGGTCTTCAATTTGAATACATACTGTGAATAGTGACAACCCTCAACCATCAACGTCCATCAACTCTTAGCTTGCACAATGTGCGCAGTTTGCGCCCAACCTCTGGCAACCGTTTGACCCTTGGACACTGTTGGTGCCGGTGCCCGTGCCCGTGGCAGGCAGCTGCTCCTTGACGGCCTACCGCATTACGCCCCAAGGCTTCCAGTGGGGCAAGTCCAACAAGGCCGCAGACGCAGACGAGACCCGAATCGTGATGCCATGGACCCGAATCGGACGACGTGAGAAACGAGGGAGTTCCTTTGGGGTGAAAAGAAGGGGCATTGAAGCAAAGGGAGCGCAGCCTTCAAGAGAATCTGTGTGTTGTCAATGTTTTTGCCTTTGATTTGTCAGGAGGATTAAGAATGGGCAAAGGTTGTGGACTTTTGCTGCTAATCTCCACTGTTCCTTTTGCGCGGCTTCCTGACGGATTGCACCACTACCGGGCAGCCATCCTCCTGTGGCAACAGTCATCCTCCAGTTTTAACTGTCAGTGGTTCTTTTCATGGATGCAGATGCAGTCATTCTCCGCATCAGTGCATACATTGGAGTTGACATTTCTTGGAGTATGGGATATTAGCACCTATTGGTAAGTGGCAGAATGTGGTCACAAACCTACATTTGCTGACGGGACCCGGGACGGGTGTTCACTTCGTTTTCTTCGTCCGATCACATGCAGCGCTTCCGACCTTGACCGATCGGTCGGGTATCGGGGGCGTATTTGGTCGTTGACCCTCGTCCTCCGCAATTTTGTCGTGCTGAAACAGCCGGACTGTCCAGGATGCATGTTTCGTTTCGTTTAGTTTTGCATGTTTTTGCCAATGCTTGGTGCAAGAGACACAGGCTGAAACGAGAGTATTCCGATTGTCTAGGTACTTCAGGGTTAATCATATGGCACCGCAACCCCGCCGAGACTTGGCTTGCTTCGCTTGGTCCAACCGCCAACTTCCACGCAGTATTTCTGCGGTTTCCGGGCCCAGCTCGGATGACCGGGCCCTCCCTGCAGGACACCGGGCCAAACCCTGCGGGCTTCTTGCCAACACATGCTGAGAAGGTGCAGATGCTCTTGAGTGACTCGGAGATCCTTCGCGATGGAACCGATGGAACCAATCGAAAGCAACCATGCTCCGTGTAGACTCTTGATCAATAACCCCCCGAAGTGGGATTGAACATCCTCAGTCTAGGTCTGGGGGGTCTCATTCATAGTCTACGAATGTCTACTACATTAACCAAACAGGTTTCAACGGTTCTATTGGTCTGACAGTCTTTCCCTCAGTCTCAAGGGGTCCAAGCAGAGTTCTGCCACTTTTCAGACCGCCTGAAAGCTGAGACCCAGGAAACCGCTTTCAGGCGAGGTCGACACCGGGTGCGTTTGTTTGGGATGAACATCCCGGTCCCAGGAAGAGCTCTCAAAGTAGGGTCTTATCATGGTCTTATCAGGTTTCATCTATACGTCCTTTGACGTGAATAGAAAGAACAAACCTGAGAGCACACAAACGATCCCTAGCTGCTAGCTGCGATCCTGGCTCTAGTAGCTGCTTGCTGTATTTTGCCTGATACTTCAGCCGAAACGAGCTTCGCAGTGGCCCAACGGTGCATTTCCAGGCGGTGAAGCCAACGCCGGCTCGGCGCGCTTTCGCTTCGCGGCCGTTCGCTTCGCCGATCCGGCTGGGAGAGACCGGCCATTTGAGGTGATATTTTCCTGGGTTTCTTCATGGTGCTCCTTGGCAACCGAGTTACGAAGGCACAAGGAAGGCAGACATGTATATCTTAAGCAAATGCCAATATATAAAGATTAACGTGCCCGTTTGCGAAGGAGGGAAGTAGGATGACAGCCTGGAAGGTGTTGAAGACATGTTCAATTCAATGTGAGCGGGAGAACATGGGTGGCCTCAATACACCATGTTGACAGCAATGCTGCTTGAAAGCCAAACAGAAGGCCGTTCTCTTTTCTCTTTTGGGTGGTTTGGTTTGGTTTGAATTGTCGTCCGCGTGTGTTTGCTTCGGGGCATTTGTGCGGGACACTTGCATCGGGGCGGGACACTTGCATCGAACCCTGTTGGGTGTGCATTTTGTGACTGGATTCTTTTTTGAGCTTGTGTGTGGCGGCATGATAAGTTGTGTGGACACTAGATCGCCAGCATGGCATCCTATATAAGTTTCTTTTTTCCCGGTATGTCACTGTATTAAAGGACACTATTGTAAGACAATACATGTCACTTTACTGGCAAGACAATACATGTCACCATCTCAACGGTTTTGTCTTACCAGTCCTCAAATTTCGAGGCCAGGCGAATTCCCAAGACCAGGTGATTCAACAACCCACCCATTTTTTCAGCAGTTTCTGCGCTCAATGTTGCACACTCAATGAGCCAAGGCCTGACAATGGCATTTGGAACTACAACTTCATGGGCCAGAAACACAACCCAACAATGAAGTACAGTCTTTGCGTGCCTTGGCATTAGCTATCGCGAGCTTTCTCGCCATTTCGGCCTACCTGGGGAAAAGGAAGTTCTTTGGCGGGTGGGAGGATGAGCTCGTCTGGATGATATCGACCACATGAAGCGAACTGGTGATGAGATCGGATGCAGCAGATGATGTTTGATGGATGAAGATGGAAGTTTCAAACACAATCAACATATGATCAGTGTTCCAAGTGACGCATGGCCCTTGGATGTACACTCACTCTACAGCTGCAGAGCTCATGACCCGGAAAAGGCCATGTTGGGATCGTCGCAAGGGCTACTCAGTCAATCATGTTGCGGTGGGTGACACCCGGGAACTCAACAAACATGAACACTCAGTGGCTCAAGTGAACTCTAAGTGCTCCTGTTTCATGGCGACTCTGCAGTTGTTCGAGGAATTCCCTGGTTTTCAAGACCGATCTGGGCCGAGGGTCGGTGATTGGTCCAGTTGGTCGAGACGTTCTTGAGTAGTACGCAGCTACGCATGAAGTTCCAGCTCTGGCAGGAAAAGGCTGTTCTGCGGTCGTGGGATCCATTTTCAGAAAAAGGTATGAGTAGGCATGGCGAGAACTTTTTGACGCATCAGAGCTTCACTTGGGTTGATAGAAGACCTGAAAAAAACCTCAACCCATGGAAGTTTGATTCAATCCAGTTGGGTTCAATCTTCAGCTTCAATGCTAAAACTTAAAGATACTTTAGCCAAAACCAGCTGCCAATCTTGGGAAACTGGTCAGTTTCCCAACTTGTCAGTTTTCCAACAGGTCAAACTGGGGAAACAGTGCCAAGTCAATGCTGAACGTTTGAACTTTGAACATAAGAGCTAACAAAACCGGCTTGCTGTTCCAGGTGGAGAATCCGCGGGAATACTACCATGAATGCCACAGGCACGGGGGGTACACCCACTGCAGATCCAGTCACGGATGAATCGCTTGGCTCCGCCCATCCCTCGAATTGTCGTCCATCCCTCCAACAAGAAAACAGTTTCTTGTCAGAATATGTTGTGGAAGAGGCATTGACTTGAAGGCCCAAGTCTTGGAACTGGATCGATCGGAGGACCGATTTCGTCTTTCGGAGTGTCAGAGCACCCAGCCAGAAGGCAAACACATACCATGACCTTCAGTATTTGCTTAGAGCTTACTATATTGGACCGGTAAGCCTTCATTCCATGTATAGCATCTACATTTTAGCTATAATTCTATATGTCTTTTTCATGGAGCTTACCACCTTTGGACCCTCAGCAGGAACGTTTGCACATCCAGTCTCACAACCCCAGTCTCTGGCGACCAAACTTTTGGTGGACGATGGATGTGGTGGCCCTGCGAGAAACAAGAAAACATCTGTGGGGCCCTGGATGGTGTACTGGGGCCTTTGCATATAGACATCTCCCAAGTCAGATGTGGTTCCGACATCAGATGTACCGGGATGAAAAGGATCACCCAGTTCTGGCTGCCGGTGTTTTCGAGCAAAGATCCTAGGTCCGGTGGTTCCTGAACTTCCAAGAAAAGAGCCTTATTGAAGATCGCCAGGTGATCAGGGTCTTGTGGCCTTGTGGTTAACCAGTTTTCCAATGTTTTGCAGGGCGGCTGTGGAGGGGCACCTGGTTGAAGTTGCTCGCCCAATTGCAGGCCAGCCCATTTCTTGAATTTCACTCAGCAAGAAGAGGGCGGCGCCGAGGGAGCAGACCACGAGGAGCGGGCGTTCGTTCCTGAGACCCCGTGGTGAGATCACCAAGGCTTGTGACACCCGCAGCTACTAGTAAGGCACTTGTTACTACTAGCGTGGCACTTGTTACTACTAGCGTGGCACTTGTTACTACTAGCGTGGCACCTGTTACAGCAAAAAGGCATAAATAATGCCATATTGAAGTAGATGGAATGCTGTGACGTTTGTTTGGTCTACTACTGCAGCACGAGATGTACTGTACGATTGTACTGTACGATGGAAGAACGATCTTTTCTTCTTACAATATGGTCTTACAACATCTATGTGGATCAGCCGCGGTCGAAAGAAAAGAAGTGCATTTTGCGTGGCCAGTGTGGGACGGTCAATGATCACCCTATTTTAAATGTATAACTGTATGACTGATGACTGTATAACAGTATATTATATTCCCAGCGCAACAAAGACAAGCTTTGAACTTGAACCAAAATACTATCCTCTATCCTCTATCCTCAATGTTCATACTTATTCCACACGTTCTTGAGGTGGCCAATACCTAGTCCAAGTTTGGAGCTAGTATATTCCGCAACAACATGGTCCAATGGTGTTCTCCCTATGCTGACTTCCAGGACCACTTTGTGTGAGACGTTCTTCGCGCAGCAAGCTGCGCCCAGTGCTGCAGAAGCACAGCAAGAGAAGCAATCATCCAAGCCCGACCCAGTCGAGAATGGACAGATCGGGCCGACCATGTTTGACCCCCCAATCTGGACAGCTCTAGTTGGTCGAAGTGGACAGATCCATCTCTTGCATTCCATTGGGCATCTCTAAGTGCTGCGAGTTGGGCGCCGACGAGTTGTGAAGGTGCTCTTTGCACAGCGTCAGTCCTGTTTGCAGTGGCTGCCGTGAGACGGGGTGAAGCCATCCTTATCTCTCATCAAGCCAGCAGATAATCCAAACTTTATTTTTGAGAAACCGAGAACGAATAGAGACAAAACAATGCCGACCAGTTGAAAGTGAATTAGCATTCTTCAAGCGCCCTTGCTCCTTAACTGCAGGCTGGCGTGAGAATCTTAGATTGCACACACCGCGTGAGGTGGCAATCTGTTCGTACATATCACCGAAAAGTGGCTGGCTCGTGCTTGGCGCTCCAGTCGGGCTTGTGGAGGTTTTTGAAGGCCTGGGCTATTCTCCGCTTTGATTGGTGGGTCGCCCTTCAGATTTCTGCTTTCCACCACCCGAAGTGATCTCGTTCGGCCACGTTTCGAGAAACTGAGGTAGACATGTGGGAATACACGGAACTGGATGGTCTTGACAGATGCGGAACTGACTGTCGGAACTGGATGGTGTCAAGATGAGTTCTTTCGCAACCTCGATGGGCATGGCTTTTCTTCTGACCAAACGTCGATGAGAACCAACACCGGGCCAGTGGCGGACCTCTCTGCGACTCGTCGACCCGCATCGACCCGCATCGACCGGATGGAACCGAAGGATCTGCTGGCTGCTTTGACACGTCAACGACCGATAAAATGGGCTCAAACGAGGAGGTTCTCTCCTTTAGCATAAGCATGCATGAGCCATTATTGTACAGTCACTCTATGGTTTTCCAATGTCACTCTATTGGAGATATGAAGGAAGAACATAGAGAACACGTTGGAACCTTGGACACCGTAGAATCCGTGAGAACACACTCATCGCTTCACTCATGGCAGACTACGCAGATGGCCTCAGATGAGAGAACGGAGAACTACGGCAGACGCAAACGGCGAGTCGTTTTCTCAAGTGCATCACCTTTGGAGGGTTGCTTCGCGACGGTCAAACAATTGGTCAAAACGATGGACTTTGATTGACTTTGTGGGATTCGATAGGCTGATGCATATGTGTGACAGGATAAAGACCAGGACTGTTCGTGCCCAGTAAGGCTGGTAAGAATATGCAAGCATCTACCGTGCGTCTGTGTTGTTTGTTTATATAATCCTCTAGACTCTAGCCACTCTTTATGGTGTGCTGATGGTGTTCTGACTGACTAGGAGCCGAAGCATTTAGAATTCAGATTTCCGCATCAATGAGAACGCTTCCATGCAGTTTGTGAACCATGCCCAATCCATGTTTGAGAGCACGAATTGGCTGGCTCAATCAATGTGTTATTCTGGTTTCTTGTCTGCATGGAATCCTTTTGCCAGAGCTGCGTTGCTTAGGGAGTCGAGGTCTCCGCATTATAAACGCAACTGTTTTCAGTCGTAACTCGTCGTCTTCGTAATGAAGAATCATCAAGAATCATCGTTCTGGTGTGTGTTGGGCTGGCTTGGCTACTTTGTGCACCTCTTTTTCCTGTGAATCCCTTTGAGGATCTTTGAGGTGAGAACTCTCCGACAAGTGCTACTTCCTTTCCTTTCCTTTCCTCGCCCCTAAGGTGGGCCTTGACGACGACCCAGAGGCTGTTAGCAGCGGACCCTTGAGCTTACCATGAGCAAGCAGCAAGCTCATGACATTTGAGATAGTGCATCACATGGCGAGTAAAGAACAGTTTTCAATCAGAAACTTGCAAGTTCAAAGTTATGTTGAAGTCCGCGTTTCTCTTTGCCTGTTGTAAAAGCTGTATTTGTCTCGGAGGTAATTAGACCTTCCAGACATAAGGATATCGAGGCCTTCTGGGCCACCCACCTGGAATTTGCATTTGCTTATCATTTGGATGTGTCTCAGTCCCACATCCCAGTGGGTAATTGAAGATTGATAGTTGATATATGTTGATATAATATACCTAAATTCTTTGAGAATCAATCAATCAATCAATCAATCAATCAATTGGAGATCTACAGTAGCTCAGACGTTCTAGGACCGCTCGATCTCGATCTGAGTGGCTAAAGTCACCCTCTGGCCCACCTGATTGGTCCACCGTCAGCCTGCACTCACCTGTGCCTGGGGTTGTTCTGTTTGGTTTCTGCCTGGCAGGCCTTTCAGAGCCGTTTTGGGAATTCATTGGCAAGTGTGACCATCCTGGAGTCAGTGACCCAGTAAAACACAAGTCAGTCCTCAATGATTATGAAATGAGTTTGTGTATGGCTGCGACCCACAGAATGTGAAAGCAACATGTTGCCTCAGATTGTTCAAACCAGAGGGACCCAGATTAGTTACCTCAACTGTAGGTTGATCTGTGGTAAGATTGGAAACATCTTGCTAACGTACCTCATGAGAAGGAAGGTATCGAGGTGTAACTGCTCTGGCAGGTTCACTGTGGCCCTTGCCAGGCAACCAGTCAACCGGTCAACGGTCAACCCCAGAACACAACCAAGCGAAGAAGAAGGAGACCGAAGAACACACACACAGATATATATATATATATATATTATATATATGCTCCTGCCATGGGTGTGCAGGAGCGATCATGTCGGCCGCTACACCGTGAAGGGATGATACGCAGTACTCTATATAATAGCTGGATACACAGGACTTAGCTGTGGGATATGTGACTAGCCGTATAGGTCCTTGACACCGCTGTGGTGTTCTTGGTTCCCATCTACCCGAATCGACCATTGAGAGCACCCGCATTCCAATCATTGCTTTTCCGGGTGAGAAGATACGCTCTACGTTGGGAGTCAGCGTGAAGTAGACCCACAGGTTGAAATCAATCCCAGAATCCCATCACGGAATCTGACCATGGCAACAATGTGTAGCACCCTGGCGCCAAGTCAACGTATACTTTAAACACAAACACATCCCATTCCAAACAGACACAACAAACAACACCTGTAGCCTTCTGTCGCCTTGAACCCTCGGGCCTTCTAACCCCAACCGGAGAGGCCGTGGCCTCAAGCGTGGGCCAGCTGGTGAAGCAATCACTGCAGCCACAGGCCACTGCGCAGCCGAAGGGTTCAATTGGGTTTGGACCTCAAGCGACTTCAAAGGCGGTGGTGGGATTGCATAGGTTTTCTTTGTTGATCAAGTATTTGTAAAGTGTTTCATTCTGTGGTGGTTTTATTGAATAGCTGTGGTTACGCATGAAAAAACAGTGATCGTATACGCAGCATCATCCTCATGTATTTTGTTGGTACTCAGCCCTTTTCATGTCCTTTAATTGCATGTTGCTTTCCCCGGCTGCATTGGAGATAGAGGACCATCTAGAAGTCGGAAGACGTAACTGGACCCAGATGGCACCATGTGGGCTTGCTCCTAGACATCGGTTGAAGTTGGCTCTACTTTTTCAGGGTCCACGTCAGTCTTCAAGGGGGTAAGAAAGAGCCCAGATCCGCGTTGCCAACTGGTCTGATGTCCAATGTCCTATCTCAGCTCGCAGGTGGTCTAGTAGTGTTGATTGGCGGAAGAAAGTCCAAGAATCAGGGGTGGATGGTGTTTGTCAGACAGTGCTGCGACGAAGAAGGACTGATGATGACTGGGTGGCTGCTTTCTTGATTGGTCTGAGTACTGAGTACTGTACCTTTTTTAATTGTGCCCATTGAACAATTAGACAAGTTGTGTGTTGTGATGTTGCAATATGTCGGAGCCTTGAGGAATGAGACATCATTGACTTTGGGGATCTTTTGGGCCAAGGGTTGGGAAGAGAAAAAGAGCGCTCCCGCAGCGAGACATCCTCAAACCGAGACAAGTCGGGCAACGTTTGAGCTGAGCTTTTTATCATCCAATGTGATTCACTCTAAGAATGTCCTGTAAGCAACTATACTGTATTTGTTTGGGGACATGCTTGGGCCTGGGCCAACATGCTTTCATGCTAATTGTTTGCCAGCTTGTGCGAATCACAATCGCTCTGATGGAGATGACAACCAGGGTAGATTTCTGTGCAGAAAAGCAAAGGCTTGCAGCTTGCCAAGACTTTCCAAGAGCCTCACGACTCACAAGTCTACAATTTCCCAACACTCAAGGCCATCGACAAACATACATCGCATCAGCCTTTCCAAGAGGTCCTTTTCGACGACTAATCCAAACAATACGGGAAAGTGTTCCTCTTTAGTGAATCACCAGGTGCTGTTCCTTCTCAAGCCTCAGTCTAACTGTAAGAACAGATGACTCAAGTCCTAAGTATAGGCAGTCTAGGGATGTCTACCTAAAGGCTCATGGCGCTTAGCAGTCGAATATGCCGTTTTGGATAGTTTTAGCATGTTTTAGTACAACTTAGGAAGTGGCCTAACTTGAGACATAACTTCTGTAACTGAAGATATACTGTATATAGTACTGTATGTATAATATATATATATACATATATATATACGACTTTTCCATGACAACTATATACTTACCATCACTTGCTTACTACGACGCATCAGTGACTCTGTGTTCTAACCATGTAAGCCACTTACTATCCAATATGTAAATATTTGTGGCAAGCGAGATAAGTACAGTACTTACCAAACATACATCAGCTTTAAGAACCGGCAGGCGCAACCCAGGGACAAAGCCAGGACACAGTGGCCGCGCGAGCTGGCTTCGCCCTAGTTCAGGGTACGCCTCCCCTGACATTTACGTGTCGAGAGTTAGTTGCTGAATCGTATTTGTTGTGTATTGTTATACCCCAAGTGTTAGCCGCGGTGGACCTTTGAGTAGAATACTTCATCTCAACGGTTTATCCCGTGGACCCATGGACGTCACTGAAGCCGACATCGCGGATGACGTGCCCAGCAGCAGCCGGCAGCTCAGCAGCTGGTTGAGGCGCACGAGGCAGAACAAGATCCGCAAGGCGAGTCGACCCGTCCACGTCGTCATGACGGGCGCGTGCATCGTGTCCATCCTGCGCGTTGTGTATGTAGTGTTTCGCGCACCATTTCTCGGCGTTAGCTATGGTGAGTTGGATGGGGTTGGGTTGGGTGTTTGTGGCACGAGCTTCCAATCACCGGGTACCCAACTTTTCACTTCTTGCGGCGCAGCCTTGATTCTGCACAAGGTGAGAACGAGGGAGTACCACTTGGAACAAGTCTGCAGAATGTCAAAGGTTCATGGAAGTCATTTCGTGAAAGGCAACAGGGTGGCCTCATTTGAGAGACACCCCCCATAAAACTGATTTTGTTTGGTGACAGCTTTTGAGGCCCTAGTGGATTGGAACTCAGAGCGATGTCCATCCTTATACTTTATGGACGACACCTTCCCTCAGAACGCAGGTGGTGCGGGAGATCTACTTGCGTGATGACATCACACCAGAATCCTTTGATGGAGCGGACCAAGTGTTGGTCTTGGACGCTGGGCGTATCTTAAATGAGAAACAACTCGAAACCATGTGTTTTTGAACATGGAAGGTCAGAGGGTTGGTTGGATGATGCTTGCCTACCTGGTTCATTCGTGGTTGGTTTTGTCAGAGCTTGGCACATGTTGGCCCCAAGGTGATGACTACAGGACTATGATTATCTATAGTTTTAAAACATATTTAGAGTATCCTATAATTCATATATATATATACACATTATATATATAAATGTGGAATTCTGGGCCAGGGGTGCTCGTGCGAAACCTACGTGCTGTGAAGTGAAGCTACTGGAGGTTCGGCACTTCGATGTTCCACGCGCCAAGGACACAAACATCGTACTGCATCAGATTGACCTCATCGCGGAAGATGAGTGTTTCTTGGCAATCGACTTGGGGAGATCAACTCATCTCAACCCGGAGGGGATAAAAGACCAACATGTGATCGTAGCATAGGGCACATGGCCATCGTAGGCCATAGGGTGCTGGGGTTGTTCAACCTTTGTATGCCACTTGTTTTGTTATGCAATACCACTGGGCACCAATGCACACTACCCCACTCACCACCTGGCGACAGCCAGGTGTGAACCACGTCGTCGTGCCCTACACGGTTCTGCAAGAAGTGCGGCACCGCAACATGGGCATCTACTCACGCCTGCGCGCTTTGTGCCGTGTGGAGACAGGTGCGATGGTCCGTAGAGATCCATGGGTAGCTCCCCACGGTCCAGGCCTCGCTTTGTTTCCGGGCAAGTCATGAAATGGATTCCAACTGGATTGGGGATGGAGAAACATAGCCAATCACCTCAGCTCCAAGGAGCCCGAAGGAAGCAGCAGTCACCTCGGCTCAGTGCCCCGCTCCACGGGGGCCGCCCTGCAGGCGACGCCAAAGAGGACGAGGTCGCCGAGGCGGAGCTCAACGAAGAGCCCGCGCCGCCCTCGTCCACGGCCAAGCGTGGTGTGGGAGATCGGGAGAGAGCGAAGGAGCGACGGTTGGGAGATGAGAGACTGGAGGTTGGAGAAGTTGAAAGGATTGGACATCCGTGCAGACCTTTTTGTTGGAATTGGACTAGTGACTACTTCGTACTTTGACCAGTGATCCATGATTGTAATATATATATATATAACTACACATACACTGCTTGTAAAACGGTGATACAAGGTAGGAGCCTTCCGTAGGGTGGCGACTGCGCCAAACTCGTGTCTCCGTGCCACAGGAGGCCATCGCCTCGGCACGGAACGCCCGGAAGTTCTACGTGTTTCCCAACGAGTTCTTCCGGGAGACCTATGTGGAGCGGTTACCTCAGGTGACTTGGGGAGGAGGGTGACCAGAACACCTTTGAACTTGGAACCTGTGGGCAAAATGCAGAGCCCATGGTCTATGCACCTAGAGTCAAGATAAATTCAGGTTTAATTATGTTTAATCCAAAAAATCCTTCACATCATCCATCCCAATATGTCTTGCTTGTGGTGCTTGCTTCAGGAATCCCAGAACGACCGCAACGACCGGGCCATCCGCCGGGTGGCGCACTGGTACCGACGCCACATCGTGGGGCCTGAGGCGGAGTGCAGGGCGACGAGTGGCGGGTGCAGTGAAGCACCGGAAGCTTCAATCGTTTTGAGATCAGAAAGCAAACAAAAAAGAGCAGTCTTAAGAACATGTTTTAGAACTCGTTTTGTAATGTGTTCTGATCAAATTTGATCAATGCTTTGTCGAGAACTCCCCCCGGAGAACTGGAGATTACTACGTATAGTATTGGTGGACCTTAAAGAACATGTCAAGCCTGCACAGATGGAGAGACATCAATCATGAAGAGTATCATATTGAGTGCAATTTCAAGCTACGATCTGCGGTTGGTTGAAGTAGAGAATGAAGTCATGATGAAGTTATGTGGTCATGTGAACCATGTGGTGGACCCATCGGATCCACCGACAGGTGTTGTTGCTCACGGACGACAAGGCCTGCAAGGCCAAGGCCGTGGACGACGGCCTCACGGCGCTGCGGGCCGCGGAGTTCATCGAGCGCATGCGGCCAAAGTTCCCAGAGGCATCCGCCCGTTGTGTTTGGTTTCGACCGGGTGAGGGTGGAAAGTATCAGTTGTGTGTGCGTTGTTTTTTCTTTTTTCAGGGGAGGGGTTGGGGTTGAGCGTGGGCCTGCTTTGATGTGGAGATGGGGCCAGATTACCATTCTGTTGTGCAGGGCTGACAGGTAGTTTGTAATTGCAGGTGAGGCCACAGACACTTGGAGTTCTTGGGTGCCCGCAAGAGAAGGAGGGTTTGGGGAAATGACATGGGTTTCGATTTTTATAGGGAAAGCGTAAAAGAATGTAAAACATCACCGTGGCATACAAACAGTTCCTTGGGAGATTTCACACTTTTCATGATGTGTTGTACATGTGGTGCGCCCTTGGCAAACCGAGCTCCAAGCAAGCTCCAACCCTCACTACCCACTGCCCACCTTTCTTCCCTGTAAGGCCGGCGAAAAGTTGGCGCTGCGCGACGACGAGGACGCCGAAAAGCCAGCCACGGCGACGCCGCGGGGGGGTGCGCAGAAGCGAAAGAGCTTGATTAACTCCACAGATGGCTCGGTCTATCCAGCGCATCTGAAAGGAAGTCACTTGGCTTGGCTCGAACGATTGTGTGGAACGTTGTGGAACGTTGTGGCTGACTTCTGAAAAATGCATGACATCTAGAACCCACATAATTTTTTTTTGAGTCACATCCGACATCCATATGAAAGGAAGTCGCTTGCCGCTTGACCCCCTCAGTTGTCTCCCACCGGTGAAGCTGTGGGTGATCGATTCTTGGAACCTAGCGTCCTTGTTCCTAATAGCTTCTTGTTCCTAGTAGTAAGGCACTTGTTAGTACTAGAGTGGCACTTGTTACTAGAAGCGATGCACTTGTTCCTAGTAGTTGAGGTGAGGTGGAGCAAGGCTTGAAGGAGCGGCGGCTCTTTCAAGGCCTCTTGCGGATGCACATGATGCTGGGATTCGGTTCAGGTGGGTTTGGCAGGCTTGGATCATGTGTGTACAAATATATTAACTATATAATTGAAATTGTCTAACTTGTTATATATATATATATATCTTATATATGTATGATATATACATATATAGATGGTTCATTCAAGAAAGAATTCACCCACCAGAGGATAGCAATGGTTTCAACATTTGACCCCCAAAAGAGTCCTACACTGGGGCTTTGTGGCCTTTCAGGGGAGCACGCACTGTGCTAACTTCACGGCATCTTTGTTTGGGTGAATGAAATGGCAGGTGCTTTCCTTGCTTTTCCTTTGGACTAATAGGACATCATGCTCCATCGTTTAGTTCGTGAGCGGAAAAACTCCCATGAAACTGGAGGGGGCGGATTGCCATCGATCGCAAAAAGTCAAAGTGGATAGGTTCTTGCTTCCTAGCCTTGGTTTTGTTTGACACATTGATTACTCTCGATTCCAATACACAATCTTGAGAGAGCTGCAGTGACAAAATGGTTGAAGCTTGTATGATGTCAAACTATTACTGCAAATAGCAATATAGTATACTGTACTTACTTGAGGTTGCACTTTGATATGTCTAGCCAGACAGAGTTGTCATCACCACCACCCAACGTCTCCGTCATCGCTCTTCACTAGTTCTCAGGTGTCTATAGGTGGCCCAAATCACCAAGTGGTGGTCACTGAGGCAAATATTGGTTGAAAGGACGCTACTAGGGGCTCCTGGCCTTACTACTAGGAACAAGAAGCTACTAGGGGCTCCTGGCATCGCTACTAGGAGCAAGGGCGCTACTAGGGGCTCCTGGCCTCACTACTAAGAGCAAGAACCCACTAGGGGCTCCTGGCATCGCTACTAGGAGCGAGGACGCTACTAGGGGCTCCTGGCCTTACTACTGGGAGCAAGAAGCTACTAGTTGCTCCTGGCATCGCTACTAGGAGCAAGGGCGCTACTAGGGGCTCCTGGCCTTGCTACTAGGAGCAGGAACGAGACAATGTGAGTCCGTGCGAAAGGCTTTCTTGAAAGTGCGGTTCAACAAAGATGTCTCTTCCAGATGGCTTTCAGACAAAATTCAGAAGTTCATGCCTTTGCTGAAGCAGAGTGTGCCGTCGATTCAAGTAGGCACCTGCTGGAGCATCGGCAGTAGCCTTTTCAGACGTACGTAGATATGCTGAAGTTTGGAATGTTGTGGGATAGGCTGAGGTGGGACACGATTGTTTTTTGCCATCTGTCATGAGCTGCGCACGTGGCATCAATGTTTTCCGCCATCCCTGAAGAGCCACGAAAGGCGGCGAAAGCTAGGCTGAAAAGACCCCCCGGCTTGAGCGTCTTTTTAACTTAGCTATGATGTCCAAGTTGCCAGGGTCCGTCCAGGGTCCGTCCACTCGGCCGAGCGCCCAAGCCGCGCACGGAGAGACCGAGGAACACCTGTATGCATGGCACGGTGACCTGCGCCGGCAGCGAAGCTGGGCATGAGAGATTGGTTACAATTGGTTGGCTGAATGCTCGGTCGAGTCGGTCGTGTTTTTGTGGGTTAGTATCTCTACACCTTTGAGGTTGAAAGCAGAATCCCAAACCATACAAGGACGCTAGTAGTAGCTCCTGGCAGCGCTACTAGTACATCGCTACCAGTAACAAGGACGCTACTAGTAGCTCCTGTTTTCTCTTTGCGATGCCCTGGTTACTAGTAGCTTCTTGTTCCTAGTTGTAAATGCCAGGAGCTACTAGTAGCGTCCTTGCTCCTAGTAGCGATGCCCTTTGTTGCTAGGAGAATCCCAAACCACTTCAGTTTCAATGTTGGATATGACAATGCGAGGTCCTACAGCCGACAGGTCTTGGTGTAATCGATAGTTCCCATCCTGTGGATCCTGTAGACATCCCAGCTAGCGAAGCCGATTGGTTCTTCACACAGCAAAACATATCCACAGGAAATTAGCGGTATATGATGGCGACTGACGTGAGCAGATGGCAGAAATTCCAGATCTCGGTGAACGCTTCTCACATTTTGGACAATTTATATATCAACATTTTAGTAATTGTAACTATATCCCACATCTTTTCCCTGATCAGCCGCGCGAGCGTTTCTTCCGTAAGGCTTGTGTGCTCACCATCTTTCTCAGTGTATAGTTGTTGCAAGGATGCAAGAAATTAACCTGTTCAGCCTAGCTTTAGGGTTGCTTCACGTTGGAACATTTTGGAACCCTGCTTTTGAGGAACTATGTTCTCAAGATCAGCACGTTTGTGGTTCATGGATTCCCTTGGAATTGACCGAAGAGATGGTCTTCAAATACCTTAGCCTTAAAACCGTGAATTGTTTGATCTTGATATGTTTGTTGCTCGAATGAGAAAGTTGACGTTGGCAGGGCAATGGCCACGATACCAGTTGATGCATGGCACCAGGGCACTGTGGGCACCCGTACCCGTGGGTTTTCAGGAAGAGATTGAAGTCTCTGGGCGGCTGGCTGCTCGGCCTTGGGACGAACTGGTCCCTGAGTGAAGAGGGACACCCGAACGGGGTGGTGGTAGGTAGCGTAGGTGGCACGTGGATGTTTGTTTGGTGAATTGTGGATGGTGTGACCAAGAAGCACTTTGCCATGCACTGGGAATGCTGGAGACCCAAACAGGGGGCTATTTCGGGGTGATCTTTTGGCTGCAATGAGCCACAGACAGATGAACTGTTTCAGACGAAAGGTAGCTGTTTGGGGTTCGGACGGCTTGACCGAGCATGTCAGACAGCGAAGAGTGTCGGACTGCTTCCAAGCCTCAGGATGATGTATTCTGTTGGCGTTGCACGTGCTTGAAACATGTCGGTAGTATCGTGACACAGCCGAAAAGAAGGACCAAGCCAAGCTGGACCTCTTTTTTTGCCTACCCATTGAATCCATTGGCATTTAACGACGCTTACGCATCCTTTTTTGATTTAGTGAGGATCTAGTAATGCTCGCATGATGTGACTCACATGAAGGTACATAAAGAAACAATACACGGAGGGACATGTGTTTGTTCAGTTTTGGTCATTGGTCCGCGGTTTTGAGGGACGAGCGAAGCAGATAGGTCACTTCCTATAAACCGAGATGTGCACAAGTGTAGAACAACTAGATCCGTCGACAAGTTGCCTACTTAATGTAGGGGTGCTACATTCTATACATGTCTACACACTCCCCCAGTTCCAAACAGTTTCCCCGCTTGCGAACTGGTTCAGAAAAAAGATACAGGATGATACAGGTGATCAGGTGGCTGTGACATGGTGTGACATTGCCCATCGACGGAACTGGCATGAACGGTGGAGCTATCGGCTGGTGAGGCTCTGAACCGTGCCATCGACGGCGACGTGGTGGTCGTCGAGAAACTGGAGGACGTGGAGGTGGACGTGCGGCGCCGAAGCGTGGCTTCGGGGATTGGAAAGCCTTTCCTGGGCTCTCCAAGAAGCAAAGGAACGATCCGAATTCCAGTCTCAAGACAGATCCAATCCGAACGCTCCAAACTTCAACCTTCAATCCCATCAATGCAAACAGCTTAGCATGTTTAGCAAAAGCAATTTCATGCAAAACCTGTAGCAGAAATCGCACCACGCCACACCACGTCGGACACCACGCCACACCTTGGAAATTCCCGCATCCACCGTCCCCGGTCAGGCGCTGGAACGGGCGGACAAGCGGCTGCGGCGCGAGGTGGCCGATGGAGACTTTGGGGTCACGGAGAAGGCTCCGAGCACCACGGAGCCTTGGGATGTGTTCGGAGCACAAGCCTTCGGTGTCAGACAGTTATTTTTTAGGATTCTTCCCGTTGGATCAAGAGCAGGCCTGAGGGTGGAGCGATATGAGGATGGAATCCACATTGGTTGTGGACCGTTTTTGTTGCTCAGGATACCATCAAGGAGACCACGATGGGTACGACCTCCAGCGACCGCCCCAAAGGGCGTGTGGTGGGAATCCTCAAGCGAAACTGGCGCACCCCGGCGGCGAACCCGGGACCCGGTGCGACGGGCGACACCGGGCGAAACGGCTGTGCCCCGTTTGACGCCGCGCAAGAGAGCAAGTCGTATTTGGTTTCATTAGGTGATGAAGCCCCGGTGGTGTGTCACGGTGACACATGCATGTGCCTATGACATCCTATGATCAGTAGTGAAAGAACAATGTCAGCTGATCTCATGTGTTCCTCTGCGGTCATTGCAAAATATGTTGGTTCATCTTTCATACGAGTGCCGATTGCCGCACATGAGTAACCACCAGCCAGCCACCAGACCACAGATTTGGCGAGGGTGTTTGCCGCCAGTCATGTGCCCTGGTTTGTACTGGTCATGCCATTAATGCCTCCAAATGAGACCCTGCTTTTCACCCACAAAGCCATAATGTGATCCATTGCCTTTGCCATTTCAAGTTGTGCAACACGCACACACACAGCTGCTCGAGTTTCACTATGAACATTTTGTTGTTTTTCTTAAATATTGTTTCTTGAATATACCTTTTTTTTAGGCCAGGCCAACTTGACTATAGTGACTACCTCAACCAGATACAGTCTCCAGTTCGCGACAGCTGGTCGGGAAGAGACGACCAGGGCTCTCGCTGCACGAGGCGAGTACTGCGGCACCTTGCGGCCGTTGCACGCGGAACGCCGCCGGGAAGCGGGCCCTGAGGTGCCGAAACTGCGGAAGATGCGGACGGTGTGTTGAAAGATGCCAAAAGCATTTCCCAAACAAACACTTCTTGTTACTACTAGTAAGGCACTCGTTACTAGAAGCGATGCTCTTGTTCCTAGTAGCTTCTTTGTTACTGTCTCTGAAAGACATTTCAAAGTGTCCAACCCTTCTTGTTGAAACCATTAGAAGCTCACACCACTGGAAGCTCAAACCAGCTTCCTGGGAGACGTTTCGTTTGCCAGGACCGGGACCCGGTCCGGTCCGTCCTTTTGGTCCGGGCCGGCTTCGATGCAATCGGTGTGACATCCTGGTGCTGGTTGACTGTCAATTCCTGAGTTCTTTCTGCTGAATCGTACATTTGGCGGCTTTGTATCAAGATAGGTTTGAGGTGAGGCACAATCTACAGCAACTGAAGGCTGAAGGGAAGGAAACAGATTTCTTCCAGCCATGTGCTGGCTAAATCGAAACTAAACGATGTATGTCTACCTGTTTCACACACCGGGATTGATGGACTTTTGATATACCCAAATCATCTCGATCGAGGCATGCAAGGGATTTATAGGATCTTCACAAGTAATGCCCCCTCCTACCAGACGATTCTGCCCTACAGTCAATGCAGTCGCCCGGCCAGGTCTACAACAAATCAGATCGTGTCTTCATCCCGACGGATGCCCCTCGTTCGGCCCAGCGCAGAACTGTGGAGGGACTCGGTGGACGAATGGAACGCGAAAGACGACTGGACGGGGCTGGTGCGTCGGTCATGAGATGTGATGGGTCTGTCACCGGCATCTCTCAGGAACCAAGTCAACCCATTGGTGCCCTGTCTAACTTGACCAGAGAAACTTGAATTCTGTGAAGCCGAACGGAACGAGAACTGCCACTGGAACAATCGAGGCTCGGCTGCCCAATATCATGATCCAGACCCGGCACTCCGCCAACCTTGAGCACCTCGGATCAAGTGACTGAGTCGACACATGCTGATGAGATCCATAATGATCAAAATGACCCCGCAAATGAGTGAAAGTGGTTACTGATGGTTGCTACCTGCACGGGACACAGCTTGATTCCTTGTTCAGAAGTGATGTTTTGACATTTACGGCTCAAACTCGTCCGCGAGAATAGAGAGATGAGGGAATCCATCCGCCGCAGAAACGACGCATGTGCTGGATTCCCTGAACTTTGTCCTTCAGGTGTGGAGATAGTAACAACATTTGCGCTGACATGCGCTGACCTTCGTTGCCATAATATCATCTGTATCTACTCCAGGATATGACTGCAAGACGGAGCACTAGCTGCTGCAAACATCCTGCAAATAGGCTGAAAGATACCCAGCTATGCAAGATCGCCAATTCTGCTCTCATCCGTTCGCATCCATTCACACCCCGTTTTTTCAGCTGAGGAACAAGCGGATCGTGGTGAATTTGGACGGCTGGGATCGCTTTAGCCACTATCCTTCAGGACACCGGCAGCGGGCATCGTGGTTTTGTTGATCCATGGACGCCACGTTTTGCGGCAAAAGAGGTCCTTGGATCCTTAGTGCGGATCTGATCTGGTGCAACTTAAATACATCAGAAGTTTCCTGGTTGAGGTGGTCTAGGAGAACTTGTTCATCGCAGAGCTGTGATTAGAGGAATGGCTGTACCACCAAATCTGCCTGACAGGTTGCGGTGTATTCCAGGTGGCAATCTGTCCACGAACCGTAGGCATGGATCAAGCTCAAAACATGCGGAAATGGAAACTTCCAAGAATCCCTTTTGTATCCTTTTGTTCATGTTCATTTAACTTAAACATTTTTGCTGATAGTAGACAGTGAATGAGTTCTTGGTTAGTTGATTAGTAACCAGTATGGGTGTTGTCCGATAGTTTTTTATGCTATTTTGATATTTAGGATATATGTTGACATGATCATGTTCACCATGGTAGCAAGGGTTTGGGACCATCAAAGAGCCCCCCCCTCCTGCTCGGTGTTGCTCAGTTCTCGCGCGGAGGACATTGGACGAAGATTCTGGGAGACGTGGGCGATCGTAATGTCGAGAGCATGGTCATCCTCCATGAGTGACTCGACTCTGTCTCAGCTTTAGTCCATGCAACTTGCTCAGCCGGCACACCCTTACTTAGGTTGTGAGGAGACCGCATATTTCTTTTTGACCAGTTCCTTGATGAACTCGTTTGTGCCTCTCCTTTTCAGACACATGTCGTTTGTGCCTATCCACAGCGGTGCACTGTGGAGCTGACGCCCGTCGCAGAACACTCGAACGTCGCAGCACACTGGAAGCGGACATCATCATCGCTGGGCGTCGCAGCACGCCCAGCGATGATGCGGTACTGTACTTCATCCAGCGAAATATGTCGACACGCGACACTCGGGATTCTCCCTGAGTCTTCAGGTGTTTCACGAGCCAGACCGTTGGCAACTACACAGGAACAGGGGTTGCCCAAACGAGTGCCGGAACAACGACAAAACACCAAACCCATGAAGCCATATGAAGCCCATTATTTGATGATTTGCGCATCAGGGTCAGGTGTGTGTATATGTTGTCATTTGAGAAACCTCAATGTTCCCAGGACCATGAAGTTCCCTCCCCCAAAAGAACATGCTCGCTGTTAAAGCTCCACGCATGTCCACGGTATTAATCACGACACTTCTTGGAGGAACGGTCATCAAACTTTGCAAATGACCAGTTTTTGTTTTCACGACTTTCAATGACTCATGAATCATCATGAATCACCCGGCTGAGACACAAAACCAGGCACGGCGTGATCACCCGGGAGTTCAGCGAGGCGGTCTACCGGTGTTTGCCGCCGGCGCACTGGCAGCCGGGCCCGGAGGATTTGAAGGGACGCAGCTTGGAAGAACAACGGGGAAAGAAGGAAGGAAGGAAGGAAGGAAGGAGCTACTAGTAACAAAGGGCATCGCAATCGCTACTAGTAACAAGAAGCATCAAGAAGCTACTAGTTACTAGTAGCTCCTGGACTCCTGGCATTACTACTAGGAACAAGAAGCTACTATTAATAAGGGCATCGCTACTAGAATTGAAAGTTGTAGGGAAACTGCTCTTTGGATCTCTTGGTCCATGGCTTTTGCAGGATCCCGGCAAAGCAAGCCCAAAAGCACAGAAACAGGCCGGACAATAGACATTCAATGATGTTCATATACAACACTATACAACTGTGGTGGGTTTACGATGGTATACAATAGAGATCTACAGAGCAGTGGCCACACCCACTTGAGGTTGCAAATGGAGTGGGAGGTACTCCAAACTCTTGTCGTTTCAAAACCCCATCCGGTTTCTTGGATCGCTGTGTAAAGAAATGTAAGTGCGTTGAATCAATTCATGTAGCAATCTGGATTCTTCTGTTGTACTGCCGCCGGATGCCAAATCGATCCAACGTCGACTGAGATGCAGCCAGGGCAACTCAGCTCTGTCTGAGGAAAGGACCTTCGAGGCATTTGCATTTGCTCAGTGGACCCCCCTGGATGCCACTCGCTGTGAATTTGGGTTCCAAGATTGATGCACCAGCACTGATGACATGATGCATGTTCAGTATACGTGCATAGCAGACCAAAGAACCATTATTAAAGCAAATAAGATCAATCCCTTCTTCGGGCCTTGATTTGAAGACGCACCTATACATACACACGATTCTCACATTTAGTTCTGATCATGGTTGGTTGGGATATACGGACCTGGGGATTGACGCTACGAACACGTACAAATTGTCACCAACATCCCAGATGTCCGTTCAAGAACTGCAAAGATGCTTTGCAATCCCACCTACGGGTGTGGATTTGTAGATCTTTTTTGGCTACTATTCCAAGCCTACTACACACAGGTGTTGCCACTG